TAGTGATTCTTTAGCAAAATTTTTGCTTCCTGTTTCCACAACCTTCTGCTTTGCTGGCTTAGAAATCTTAGTGCTAGAGAGTGAAGGGTTGTACCAGAAAGTACAACAATGTCAACTTAGCAAGGCCTTGTCTCAAAATTTAAAATAAAATGAGATAAAATGTTTAGGGAATGTAGTGAAAAGGCCCTACAGAGACCAGGCAAAAAGAAGTGCACCAATAACCTACCCCAGAGCCAGGTGAGGGCAGTTCCTGGGGATGCTACTGTGTATGGTCCTGCACATATTGTCACAGATACACCTGGCCTGGATGCTGGATGCCACTCTGACCCCTGTGGCAAGGTACAAGAAGGGCTTTGGCATGTCGTTTTGATGAGTGTCTCAGCCAGTGCCAAAGTGTACTGTTCAGTAGAGAGAATGGAACTTCACAAAAGATGAAGAGAAATACAACTAACCAATTGTTTTTCTTTTCTTTGAGGCTTGAAGTGCTAACTATTCGGTATGGTTAAAATTCCTCAATGAGCTTTACAAGTAACTTTACTTCTGTACTTGCATCATCATGTAGGGACTGAATGCAATCACTTAAAAATTTCTGGCTAGACCACTGTATTCTCTCTTTCATGATGGTCCATTGTTACCCTGTAGAGTACATTCTTCTCTTACTTTTAATTGGCCCAAACTGGCTTGGAAGATAATGTTTCTTTTCCTACTTCTAATAAATGTAGAACCTCACAACCTTTAAAAAATTCTGGCTATAGTTTACAATGTAATTTTGGAAGATATGTGTGATACATAGTGAATCAGGGTGTCTGAAAGTTCTTCGGAAAAAAATCGCTTGCTAATGTCCAGGGTCTCTTATGTGAACCCCTGTCTGACTCTGCCTCTGTCTTGCTCTCTGACAGGGTCTGGGTGTGGGAGCCTCTTGCTTCAGCTTCCCAAGTGCTGGGATTACAGGTACACACTGCCGTGTCTGGCTATGAATCTCTTTGCCAGTGATTTTTTTTTTTAAAAGGAAGACAACTATTTTGAGCAAACAAGCACAGTCTTGTCCTCCTAATCTTTGTCCAACAAACTGGCTCAGTGACTCATAACACATGCAATGCTTACATTAGGCAAGATTAGGAAGTCAGAAAGATCTTTCATGTGTCTTCCTAAGAACACTTACCCATCATGCAGGAAGGGTTTTGTTCTTGATGTGCAAGAGGAACACTGCCGTTTTCAACCAGAAGGCTAGAGCATCCTAATGATTACCCCCTTTTCCTCTTGGCAGAGTAAGTACATTTCATGGTGGTGCCACCCAGTGTTGATCTGCATGTGTGTGGCATTTCAACAAAGAGTGGGCAGCAGCAACTTGCTACAGATATGAGGTAGGAGGTGTGGCATGACATCATACCAGCATTTAAAAAACACCAAGAAACCTGCGTGCTCTTTGCTTAGTGAGTAAGAAAGCAAGTCCAGCAGTAAATAACCTTAATGAGTGTGACTGTGGCAGAGAGAGGCCAAGTAAATAACTGGACAGCTGTGGACGCTTTTTATCTCAGTGAGACTATCATGTGATCATCGCCAACTGTTTTATTTTGAGGATCCTGGTCTATACAGTTGGTCCTCCCAAAGTTCTGACACTTCTTGATCTTGTATCCCAACTTTTACCTAGAGAACTTGGAGTTAATATGCATTGGCAAGCACGCCCAAGCAAAGACACAATTAGCGACCTTAGATCAGATTTGCTTCGTGAGGCCCCACTGAGGAAACCCTGCACCCAGGACTAGATGTCCAGGTGAGCAGGTTTCAACACAGTGTGAGGAAGAACTGCTGAAGAATTAGAATGGTCAGAAGATGTGGCAACCCTTCTGAAGTCCCTCAGGTTGCTTATAATTTCTCACTTGTATAAGTATTTCTGCTCTGGACATCCTTGGTCTATAGCTTTGTGTACTCTTTTTTTTTTTTGAGACAAGGTATTGCTATGTAGCCCAGGCTGGGCTTGAACTCACAGTGATCCTTCTGCCTCAGTCCCCCAAGTTCTGAGACTACAGGCATGTGCCACCACGCTGTCTTAGCTTTGAGTATTTCATACATTTTGCTGGATAAAATTCTAGAAGTAAGATGTTATGTCAAAGATATATGCATTTTGTGTTTATAGAAGCTGCCTGTTGCCTTGCAGGTGATAGCATTAATTTGTATCCACACACTGCAACCCTCCCCACCCAGCCTGGCCAGTGTAGAATGTAGCCTTTCTCACTGTAGCCAGTGTGACTGGTGACATTCCCAGGGTGGTTAACTGCATTCAGAAATGCAGGCGTGGGACAGGGGAGAAGCAGGAGTGGGAGGGACAGGAACATCGGGGATGGGAGGAGCACCTGTGCGGGGGCCAGGGAAACAGACAGGCAGCAACAGGTGCGATGGTGACTGATGAGAAGTGGAGATGAGAGGCAGCAAGTCACCACCAGCGGGCTCAGCTCGAGTTGCTAGAATTCTGTATCAGATCTCTTCATTGTGTGTGCCAAGGAAGACCACCGACATGCGATGGGACTTGACCTGTCCACGTGGGGCAGACACCGTCCCAGCACAAGACGTATGCTTAGGCACTTGTGTACCCAAAAGGATGAGTTTGAAGTCAGAACATTTCTGGAAGTTTTGAAATCTACTTTGTTTGGGGGCACTGAGCTATATCCTTAGCCCCTGAAATCTGAAGAGAAAATCTAGAGCAAAATGTAACTTATTTTCCTAGCTACTTTAAGAAATGCCACATTATATTGTTAACAATGTGGAAGTTTATTTTCTTATAAAATGATCACGTATGGTATTTAAATTCACAGTGGGACTTACTTAGACTCTGCTAAATGATTACATCTACAGCCTTTTTTTTTTTTTTTTTTTTTTTTTTTTTGAGACAGGGTCTTCCTGAGTTGCTAAGTTGCCCAAGCTGAGCTTGGGCTTGGCATCCTCCTGCCTCAGCCTCCCAGAATGTTGTGAATGAACTTATTTCTTAAATGCTTTACTATCTGTAATTAAAGTCTGCTGATGGTATATCTATACTGTAACTTTGTCAATTAAGAGTGGTAAAATTAGAAGTAACTATCACATGATACTACCTTGAATATTGTGTCACATGATCACACAATATTCAAGGAATAAAATAGCCTACGGGTGACCTGGGGATGTGCACCCCTAAGAAGGAAGTAGATGTGGGGGATGGGAAAAGCTTTTATTTGCAGAAAAATTGATGCAGACAGGAGTTGGGAGGCTGAGGCACAATGATCGCTGTGAAGTGGAGGCCAGGCTAGGCTACACAGTGAGATCAGGACAGCCTGTATTAGAGCAAGATTCTGTCTCAAGAAACTTTAAAAAAATTGCTTCAGAAAAAGAAAAATAATTCTTTCTTTCTAAATCCATTGATAGAACATATTGCAATGTGGAAAGTTATCTAATGAGATTCACTTGGAAATACATTTAATTTGATCTGATTCCCAGTAAACTGCCTGTGAGAGGAGACCCCAGGCTCAGTTCTACCCTTCACTCCCATCCATCCATCCATCTACACAGCTACCACCTGCCCACTGCCATTGATAACTAATAATTATAGAGTGCTTTACAGTACGCCAGCTACTATTCCAAGTGCTTCACTTGCATTTTCTCCAATAGTCTTCTCAACAGTGCTGTGAGGTAACCACTGGCACCTCTCCTTTACGCTGGCATCTGAGGGTTTCCCAGTGAGTGCAGGGCTCGCCATCTGACCCAGCAGTGCCACCCACAGAACTGTGTCCTTAAGAATTAAAAACAGGTATTTAACCAGAAACTTGTACCAGGGTGTTCCTAGCAGCTCATTCACAATAGCTCAAAGGTGGAAAAAAAACCCAGTGTCCATCAGCAGAGGCATGGCCACACAAAATATGGTGTGTCCATAACAGTGCTTATAATGCAGAGAAGGGGATTCTGGTTCATGTGCAACATAGGTAAACCTCGACATCATCACTGCTAAGTGAACGTAGTCATATACCAAAGGGCACACATTCTAGGGTCCCACTTATCTAAGCTCTTCAGAGCAGGTGAATCTGCAGGGACAGGAAGCAGTCAGTGGTTGCCAGAGCCTGGGGTGAGAGGGTTTGGGGTAGTGAGTGCAGTGGGTTGGGGGCTGTTGGGTAGGATGACGAGAAAGCTTTGGAAGTAGGTAGTGGTGATGGTTACACAACACTGTATTATACTTGATGCTACTGGGTTGTATACTCTGAATGTTTAAAATGATAAATTCTATCTTATGTGTATTTTATTGTAGTTTGTTTTGAAAAATGTAACTCGAGGCTTGGAAAAATTAAGTGCCTAATGTAAGGCTATCTTACAGCTGCTGTGGGGCATCTGGCTCCAGGGTATGTGTTGGGTTTTATTGCACACAAGGTCTTCTTGTGTGGCTTAGGCTGGCCTAGAGCTTGTGATACTCCTGCCTCTGCCTACCTGAGTGCTGGGATTACAGACCTGTGTCACCTTTCTGACTGGTTCATGCTTTTTATTTTTATTTAAAATATTTTAAAAAATGATATTAGTGCCTGAACCCAGAGTCTTGTTCATGTACCCACTGATCTATATCCCCAGCCCGTTTTATTTGTTGAGATGTGGTTTTGCTAAATTGCCCGGGCTGGCTTTGGGTTTGAGATCTTCCTACCTTAGTCTCTCAAGCAGTTGAGATTATATATGTGAGCTGCCATACTTCCTTTTTAAAATTTTATTTAATTAACTTACAGAGAGAAAAGAACACACAAAATTTATTACGTGCCTAATGCATGGGAGTACTAGAGTCTACATTTTTAATAAAAACAATTTTTTGAAAAGTGAAAACTTTATTTTGGGTCATTTAGGAGTTCATATCTTTTTGATCATCTCTCTGTGTCTTCCATCAACACACGGAAAAGGTCTGGGAAAACAGCTGCTGCACTGGGGAGCCCAGGAAAGAGCCACAGCCTGGAGACCAAAGGGTCGCCATGTCTCCCTGATGCTCCTGTCTCTTGCAGGTGGAGGGAGGACCCGGGGCAATGGCTGCTGCCCATGACATGGAGATGGAGAGCATGAATGTCAATACGGACAGAGAGAGAAAAGAAGAGCTGGAGGAAGAGAAGCTGGGAGAGCATGGAGACCATAGCTCTCTTTGCAAGAGCAAGAAGGTCCACAGGATCATCTCCAAGTGGATGCTTCCTGAACCTGTCCGGAGAACTTACCTGGAGAGAGCGAACTGCCTGCCCCCGCCCGTGTTCATCATCTCCATCAGCCTGGCTGAGGTACATGCAGCAGGCACAGCCTGTGTTCCCACCGGAGGTGCAGGCTGAGTAGGGGCAAGACCTAGGTCTGGGAGAAGAGGCTGGGGCGGGATGAAGAGGGGTTGGCAGGGAAGGGGCAGCACATGCCGAGCCTTCACCCCACCCCTCCTGGAGCGGCCTTTCCTGGCTTCCCACGTTTGGGTTTCCCAGCCAAGGTTTGGGTTTCATTCTCTAATCTCCCGCCCAGCAGTGACTTGAGATTTCAGTGGCTTCCTTTCATCATAGATGGTTGGGTCTTCAGAAACCAAAGAAACTTGGAGTTGTAGATCAGTTTCTTATAAACTAATTTAGATTGGTTGGCAAGGTCTGTATGGGGCTGTATGTATAGCAGAATCATAGGCTGCCTCAAATTTCAGAGCAGAAAAGTGAGATCCTTTGAGGATGTCTATTTTGGGCAGCAGAGGGCGTGTTCTCTGACTCTGGTCTGGGCAGCTGACTTGGAGGTGGATGACTCACTCAAGGGCAGGTCTTACTGACCATGCCAAAGCCAAGCTCCTGAGCCTCAGGAAGAAGAACATTTTCTACTGTGCTGTCCTGTGATGTCCTATGGCAACATCTCAGAGCATGGCTGCCCGTGGGATGTGACCTAAGGGGCATTATGACATCCCCAATGTAAACCTTTTAAATCCCATTGATATCTCTGCTTCCTTATCAGGGACTGAGAAGGTCTGGGAAGAGGGGTGGAGAACAAGGGAATGGGGTGCCAATGTGGCTAAAACACCACTGTTAGACAGTAAATGCTACGGGCAGGCCGTTTCCTGTAGGAGGATCAGGAGCAGCTGTAAGATACCTGCCTCCTACAGAAGATCTGCTTTTAGTACTTTTTAAGTGATTTTTTTAACTGGCCGTTTTGGAGATCAAACCTTGCAGGCACTGTACCACTAAGCTATGTTCCTACTCCCTAAGTAAACTCTTGTTTTGGAATAATTTTAATTTATAGAACAATTGCCAAGGTAAATAGAGAGTTCTTGAACACCTATTATGTAATTTCTCCAGCTGTTACTATCTTATAATTCCATAGCACATCGATCAAAACTAGGAAACTAAGGTTTGTATATAATGGGTTGAGTATCCTTTGTTTGAAATGCTTGGAACCAGAGTGTTGCAGAGTTTAGAGATTTTCTGCTTTCAGAATATTTGCATACATAGACTTTACCCATTCAATATCCCCTATCTGGAAGTCTGAAACCCAAAATGGTCCAAAATCTGAAACTTTTTGAGCACCAACATGATACTCAAAAATATTTTTGGATTTTGGGAGCAATTTGGATTTCAGATTTTCAGAGCAGAGATGGTCAACCTGTTCTATTAACTAACCCCGACTTTACTTGGATTTTACCACTCTTTCTGCTAATATCTTCTTTCTGTCCCTCCGGTCTCCTCCAACACAGAGCTTCACACTGCGTCTGATGACCATGTCTCCCTTGTTTTCTCTGATCTTTGACAGTTTCTCAGTCATCATTTTTTGTGACTTAGATAATTTTTGTTGTTGTCTTTTGAGGCAGAGTCTTGCCATATAGTTCAGGCTGACCTGGACTCACTATGTAGCCCAGGTTGGCCTCGAACTTGTGGTGATCCTTCTGCCTCAGCCTCCCGAGTGCTCAGGTTGCAGGCATGTGCCACCACGCCTGGCTGACTTTGATAATCTTGCATCATACTGTGTCGATGTCCGCTCCCGGCCGGCAGGAAGGACACACGACACAGTCTGGTAGTGGACAACCTTTTCTTTTTATTTTTCTTCTCCGTACAGCCTGCCCTGGGTTCTCCCAGCTGAAGCCTCCTTTGGTCCGCTCCCCGCGGCTCCTTTTGTGCTTCAGCCTGCCCCAAAGCCTCTACCGGTCCGCTCTCCGCGGCTCCTTTTGGGCTTCTACTTTCGGGCTTCTATCTGGCTTTTTCTTCCGCCCAGGGGTGGCACCGGTATATATACGGGTACAGTGTCCAATCATGTTAAAGTAAGCAAGGCAAGCTGATTGGCTAACATCATCAGTTGCCAGGCAGACTATATTGTTGAGCGGGTTGTTTACGCGGTAAGCAGGAAACTAGCATATTCGATGGGAGGGGTAATCTACCTCAGGCCTCACTCTTTACTACAGGCCTCACGTCCGCCAAGTGAGGCGACCGGGCTCGGGGCTGCGGCTCCCAACATCTCCCCCTTTTTTATTTTTTATGAATGTGCGCATCGTAGCCCTTTCTGGACTGGGTGCAGAGGCTTATGCCCTATGCGTAGGCCCACCGTAGGTCCTTGGCTTAGACCCTGGTCGGCCGTCCCATGGTCTGTCAAGGCCCTGAGGCCCTCGTCCTTTTTCTAGGGCCAGGCACAAACTGGACGGAACCTGGATGCACACAAGCTTGTACTCATTTCCTCTCCGTAAAGAAATCCCCTCGGAGAGAAATTTAGACCTGGGCAGCATCTAACAGTCCAGCGGCTTACGTGCAGGATGGGGTAGGGCCTGGCTTAGGTCGAGTCATGCTGGGGAGGCACGCTCTTACCCGTCATTGACTCATCTACCCTGCTATATCATAATTTTTTAGAGGAGGAGTGTGGGAAGCTCACCGTCCCTAGACTCGGTCGTAGGCTAGGCGAGCGAGCCATGCATATGCCTGAGGATCTTCTTGTCCATTTCGGGCTACCGCTATTTCTATTCATCTTGTTGGTTGGTCTGTGATGGATCTCCAGTAGGGCAGGTCTGATCTTCAGTCGAGGGCTTTGTTGCCCGTGTCAGTCTCTCCGGTATCCACAGTGGTTCTCGTCCCGGTTCCTGTGGGAAAACACAAACCGCGCCTCGGTTCCAGCTGATTACCGGATCCGGGCCCATCCATTGTCCTGTCAGGACATCTTTCCACTTCACCCACCCTTTATGGTTGGGGGAAGGGTTGCAGTGCTCCACAGCTGGGGAGCGATTATCATTATTTAAATTTAAAAAATTGTGTGTGAATAGTGCCATGGATAATCGTGCCTTTGGGGCCAGGCCTTGGCCTACTCCCCCTTTTTGTTTTTGTAAAATTTCTTTGAGGCTTCTATGAGCCCTCTCAATGATTTCTTGACCTTGGGGATTGTATGGGATACCATGTTTTAATTGAACCTCTATCATTTTGCAGAACTCATTGAAGGCTTTGCCTATATAGGCTGGTCCATTATCAGTTTTTAATATTTTTGGTTTGCCCCATGCGGCCCAAGCCGCCAGGCAATGATTGATCACATTAGACACTTTTTTACCTGTTTCTGCTGTTGTAAATATGACGCGAGAACAGGTGTCTGTGGAAACATGAACATATTTAAGAGTCCCAAACTCCTGTATATGTGTGATGTCCATCTGCCAAACATCACCAGGGATCAAACCTCGAGGGTTTACTCCCATCGGTATGGCAGGTTTGTATGTGGCACAGGAGTCACATAGTCGCACGATATCTCGTGCATCTGTTCTAGAAACATGGAAATGGTTTGCTAGTGTCCTGGCATTAACATGAAATTTATCATGGAAGGCACGGGCTCGCTCGATTGGTGTTAGTAAGGTAAAAATCTATAACGGGCGAGTGGCAGTGTCAGCAGCCGCATTCCCCTGTGTCATGGGCCCTGGCAGGGATGTATGTGCTCTTATGTGGGTGGTGAAGACCTTATGGTGTCTGTTCTGAAGCAATGTCTGGATAGACAGGAACAGTCCAGCCACTGTGGAAGTGGATCTAATTAAACCGGCAGTCTCAAGCACTTGCATAGCATTGACCACATACCTAGAATCGGAGACAATGTTAATGGCCTCTGAGAACCGTTTAAGAATCATTTTAACGATCTGCAGTTCCACCACCTGAGGCTGATCTGGTTCAAATTGTATGGTAACCGGGGGCTTGCCTAGGATCACATAGGCGCCTATCCCCGTCTTAGAGCCATCTGTGTATATTGTAGTTGCTGGGACTAATGGCTCAGAGGCAGTAACCTTTGGAAAAATTATAGGGTGCTGAGTGACAAATGACAAGATGAACACCCATATAAGTCTGGAGGCGACACTGAGGTCCACACCTGCTGACCCAGGGGTGGCCCTTGTTGAAGGCTGCCACCCTGAGCTGTCCTGTCTCTGGGGCGGGGGCCCGTCTGTGAAGGGGGCCCCCTCTGGCCGTTTTTTGGCTCTCTAGCATCTTGTCCACAAATACGGTTGCCCTGAGCATCAAAGACCGACCTACACTCCTCAGCTTTGTGTGATCCCTTCTTGCATCGCCCACAAACATATGGCTCTTTATTCCTAGGACGAGGCCTAGCATCTGTATTGTTTGGGCAGTGACGTTTAATGTGTCCTGGCTCCCCGCAGGCAAAACACCCTTTAGCCTTACATTCCCCTCCTGACCCGCGAGGTCCCCTCTGCTGTATAGCCGCGGCCAGGAGAGCAGCCACTCCCGAGTTGGAGAGCGGCCCCCCTATCTCTCTGCATATCCTAATCCAGGCATTGAGGTCCTTGTTCTTATGAGGAGCTATCGCTGCCTTGCACTCCTTTGTACATTGCTTAAAAATCAGCTGTCTTACCAGCGGTTGAGCCACTCCCGGATCAGAAAATATCTTATCGGCAGCATCTTGTATTCGGGCCACAAAGTCAACAAATGGCTCTGTGGTACCCTGAATTATTTTTGAAAGACACAAGGAGGCTGTTCCAGCACCACTTACTTGCTTCCAGGCGCGGAGTCCTATGGCATTGATTTGCTCATAGACAGCGCCGGGGAACTGGGTCTGGTCATCAGCGTGCCGACCTTCTCTCATAAGCATTTCCTTGTTCCACCCCCGGTTTCCTCGATTGGCGTTTTTCTCAGCCTGCTCGGCAGAGAACTCTGCATACCAGGCTCGCCAATCCAGGTAACTACCCGAGGGCAGACACGCCTTTGCTAGCTGAATCCAGTCCGCGGGGGTGAGGGGCCCAGAAGACAGATTCTCCAGCATGGCAATGGTGTAAGGCGCAGTCGGCCCAAAAGTTGTAACTGCATTTTTAAGCTCTCTAATCTGCTTTATCTCAAAAGGCTCCCATACATTGCGTCCCTGGCCCATAGCTACTTGTACAGGAAATATCTCGTAGGGGTCACTATCTATCCCAGGTGGATGTACCTCATGAGACAAGCGTCCCCCCTGCCAAAGCCGCCTGTAAAAATACCGACCTGCCGGCGGCGGAGCATAAGACAGCGGCCGTGATTGGGCGGAAAATGGGGGCCCGTGCATCACTTCCTGTTCTGGCGAAGAGGAAGGGAGCTCCCGGGCGGCCGCCCCGCGGCGAGGGATCGCCTCCGGAAACGGCCCCCAAGGTGGGGCGGAAGGCTTCGCCTCCCTCTCGCGCCGGGGAGCGCTCAGGAGCTCTCTACTCCTCCGCAGACCAGGTTGAGCAGAGCGCAATTCGCGGGGCAACGCTGGAAAAGAACCCTGCGACTCCTTATTGAGCGATTTAGGCTCCTGACAGCTGGTCTCTTTGGCCTCCTTGCCATTCAACTTTCCCTCGTCCTCGGAGTCAGACGACTCCGAGGCTAGAGCCCCGTCCTCCTCCTTAGCATCCTTGTTCCCCTTGACAGACACCTCTCGGGAGCTCCCTGACTGGGCCTGCTCAGATACCCTGCATACTTTTGTAAGCTCTTGAGAGCTTTCTCCACAACCACCCTCGCTCTTAGTGCCGCTACCTAACATGTTTCCCATCTTTTAATATGTTACTCACCGCGTGAGGCCCAAGGAATCCGCCACTTACGCGTGAGCCTGAGGGGAGTCTAAAAGCCCTGTAGGTGCGCGCCACCCAGAGCCCAGGCTTATCCCCAACTCACCTGTCTCGCAGCTCTGTACTGGAGCGTTGTCCACTTCCACGTCTCGGGGGTGATCAGTCCCCGGGCGGGCCTCCAAATGTCGATGTCCGCTCCCGGCCGGCAGGAAGGACACACGACACAGTCTGGTAGTGGACAACCTTTTCTTTTTATTCTTCTTCTCCGTACAGCCTGCCCTGGGTTCTCCCAGCTGAAGCCTCCTTTGGTCCGCTCCCCGCGGCTCCTTTTGTGCTTCAGCCTGCCCCAAAGCCTCTACCGGTCCGCTCTCCGCGGCTCCTTTTGGGCTTCTACTTTCGGGCTTCTATCTGGCTTTTTCTTCCGCCCAGGGGTGGCACCGGTATATATACGGGTACAGTGTCCAATCATGTTAAAGTAAGCAAGGCAAGCTGATTGGCTAACATCATCAGTTGCCAGGCAGACTATATTGTTGAGCGGGTTGTTTACGCGGTAAGCAGGAAACTAGCATATTCGATGGGAGGGGTAATCTACCTCAGGCCTCACTCTTTACTACAGGCCTCACGTCCGCCAAGTGAGGCGACCGGGCTCGGGGCTGCGGCTCCCAACAATACTGGTCAGGTGTCCTTGGGGTACCCTCCCAGTCTGGCTTGTCTGATACTTTTCTCATGATTAGACTGGAGTTACAGGCTTAGGGGAAGAGCAGCAAAGAAGCAAAGTGCCCTTCTCACATCACCTCAGGAAGTAGAGAACATCCCTGGGGCACTGACCTTCACCCCTTGATCAAGGCAGTATAACCATTGTGAAGTTACTGTTTGTGCCAGTATAAAGTTACTATATATATTTTCAGAGTTTATTCACTGTAGAGTTACCATTTTCCTCTTTTCTTATTGTAATCTTTGGAAACCAGTATTGACTTACTTTCATATTAACTGTACTTGTGAGCTAGACATGATGGCTCCTGCCTGTAGTCCCAGCATCTGGAAGGCTGAGGCAGGAGGATTGCTGTGAGTTCGAGGCCAGCCTGGGCTACATAGTGAGCTCAAGGCCAGCCTGAATTGCATAACAAGATTCTGTCTCAAAAGATCAATAACAAAAACTGGACTTGTCAATGAAAGATCAAATGGTGGGGCTGTAAAGGTGAAGGCAGCGGGTAGGGAAGAAGCTAAGAGTGTTAGAGAACAGTGCTAGACGGTAGGTGTCGAAGAGCAGAAGAAAAGGAATTTAGAAAGAGTCTTCTTTACAGTGTGCTGCTCTCAACACAGCTCGAAGCAGGATTCAACCACAGTGCGGGAGGGTGGAGAAACTCAATTGCTGTCATCTTGTGACCCCACCAGAGAGCTCCTCACTGCAACACAGCCCAGGGGCCGTGGGGGGCCAGTCTCTGGAGAAGTTGTGGCTAATGCTCCTGTCTGCCCCTCCTGTCAGCTGGCAGTGTTCATTTACTATGCGGTGTGGAAACCCCAGAAACAGTGGATCACCTTGGACACAGGCATCGTAGAGAGTCCCTTGACCTACCGCCCCGACAAGAGGGAGGAAGCCTGGAGGTTCCTCTCATACATGCTGGTGCATGCCGGGTAAGGAGTGATGGGTTGAGCCACCGGTGTCAGAGGTGGTTGTGAATAATGGTAACCCCTAAGGTGTCTGGAGCTTTGTTATTGATAAGGCACTTTTATGTCCATTTTCTTATTTGACCCTTAGAGCAACCTAGGAGGCAGGTGTTTCTCCCACTGTTTCATGGCTATGACATAGTATTTTTTTTTGTTTGTTTTTTTACACAGTTTTGCTACATAGTCCAGGTTGGCCTGAATTCACTTTGTAGCGCAGGCTAGCCTTGACCTCGGACTATCCTCTTGCCTCAGTCTCCCAAGTGCTGGGATTACAGGAGTGGGCCACCATGCCTAGCTATGGCTGTGATATAATCACAACTGAGAGGAGACCAAATCATTATCAAGCCCAATGTAGGTCCCTCTTGTTGTTGGATGTTGTTAACTGTTTCCTTTACGTTAGGAAATGGTGAAGCAGAATCACTAGTCTGTCCTCCTCCTTAATCCCGTGCTTTAAAAACAACCCCAGAGCATTTTGATCAGTGTGTAACACTGTTGTCTGTCTGCAATGGCACAGGTGATACTTGCCTGCCTCTCTATTTTGCATATCATTTCCTATATGCTGACAACTTTTCCTGATCACAGCACGTCCAATGCCCATGCCCAGTATGTCATTGGGCAGCTTCCTATGGGCTCCACCTCTTGAGTGGAGTCCTGTGGTGTCACATGAGCCAACCTCATCTGTATGAACAGCCCAGCCCTGAAACAGAAAGGATGATTCTGTGTGTGTGTGTGTGTGTGTGTGTGTGTGTGTGCTGGGAATCGAACCTGGAGCCTCATGCATGCAAGGCAAGAACTCTTCCCTTGAGCCATATCCCCAGCTCAGAATGGCTATTGACCAGTGGCTAAATAGGCATCCATGGGAGGATGCAGGACCCAGAGGGCTAAGTCCAGTATAAAATCCCCAAGTGCCCAGTTTCTGTAGACTTTTCCACACTTTGATTTACCATTTAGAAGTACATTATGAGCAAATGTGGTTTCTGCCTTTAAGGATTTCAACATTTTAAGGGAGAACAGTAAAGCAGTAATGTAAGGTGGTATCCTGTTATAGTACACATTAGTTACTTAACCTCTCTGTGCCTTGGCTTCCTCATCTGTAAAGTGGGGTAATAGGACCTACTCATGAGATTGTTGTGATTAAGTGATTGAGATGGAAGCTACAGATTTCACATAGTAGGAACAAACAGTAAGGCACTAAAAAGAATCTGCAAGGCTGTGTGGGACACATCAGATATGAGTTACACAAGTTAGAAATGCTTTTAGATGCAAATAGCAAATGTAACACACAGGGACTTAAATAAATAGGGGCTAATTTTTCCTCATAGGAAAGTTTCAGAAGTAAGCAATTCATTCATCAGTTTAATGAAATCAGGGCTCTAGGTCCTGTTTTGGCCTCTCTGCTACTCCCTTGGTCTCTCGTGCCTGCAAGTTGGCTGCTATTTCTCCTCATTCAGTGCAAAGAGAGGGAAGAGCCGGTTCCTGTTAATAAACCCATCTCTTTGGTTAAGATAGAAGCTCTCTCAAAAGTCTCCTGATGGTACTCTTCCCTCTCCCTCTCCTTCCCTCCCTTTTTTGAGACAGGGTCTCACTCTGTAGTGCAGGCTGGCTTTGAGCTCACTTTGTTAGCCCAGGCTGCCCTCAAACCTGTGGGGATCCTCCTGCCTTGTCCTCTCTAGTGCTGGGATTACAGGCTCGCACCAGCACACCCGGCTAGGAGCAGACATCTCTAATTTTAAAAATTCTTTTTATTATCAATATTTATGTTTGAGGACTCCAAAACACTAGTACAGTGCTAGTGCTACCTTGGTTTACAAATTTAATTCATTCTATGATTTTAGAAAAGATGGTCATATATGAGAAAGATGGCCGCAGGTGTGTTCAACACCTGATGTAGTTTGAACTCAAAACAAAATTTTGACAAATGCTTCTGTGTGCAAACCAAATTGATTGCAGACAAAAGCTTTCATGAACCAAAGTATCACTGTATAACTATTCTTGCTAGATTATTCGGTGCTGAATATGTATCACCGCTCGTATGTCTTTGAAAATAGTTTAGACCCTGATATTGAGGCTGAATCCATGAGAAGCCATCAAGGTAGGTAATTTGCCCTGCAGCGCATGCCCAGGAGAAGCTTTTCTGTGACCTGTGGGATATTTGTTAGGTAAATGAAACAAATATGAGAGCTGCTGCCCTGTGCAAGGTCTATTGCCTATTTTGGTTTTGAACTTTTGGTTTCATGTGAAATCCCTTTAAAAAAAAAAAGTGCTATGTGCCACCTAAATTAAGGGTTATTCTAATGTGAGAAATTTTCTAATTATGTTTAGAGATTCTCCAGAGGTACCCATGGAGTTCAATAAGCAAGATGATAAGAATTTTATTTTAAAAATATATATTTTTAAGAGTAGGAAGAATTTATTGAGAGAAATTTAGCATCTGTCTAAGAGACAGAAGAGGGCTTGAAACTATTTAAAAATATTTTTACTAAGTTAAGGTGTAGCTTAATGGTAGAGTACTTGTGTAACATGTGTACAGCCCTGGGTTTGAAAGCCAGCACTGAAAACTGTGTATATACTGACTTAAAGACTTAAAGACATTCAAATATGTTAGATGCCAATCTAGAGCATATAACTGCTACCAATTTATTAAGTGTTAAAGGGTAACTTTTTAATATAGAGTCAGGAGTGAAGTTTCTCTTACCATCTCTGATTTGTTAAATTCCTGACATTATTGAAAAATCTATTGAAATTTAAACTGGGCATGGTGGCACATGCCTATAATCCTGTCACTTGGGAGGCTGAGGCAGGAGGACATTCACAGGTTTGAGAAAGTCTGGGCTACATAGTGAGGTCGAGGCCAGGCTGAACTACATAGCAAGACTGTGCCCCACCACATCTATTGAACTCTCAACTAGATAGAATTTTTAGTTTTAAAATTTTTAAAATTTTTTTTGTCTTTTTGAGACAGAGTCTTACTATACAATCCAGGCTGACTTTGAGCTCACTTTGTAGTCCAAGCTGGTCTTGAACTTGCAGCAATCCTTCTGCCTCAGCCTCCTGAGTGCTGGAATTACAGGGGTGAGCCACCACAACCAGCTAGATTTTAAAAATCTATTGAAATTCAAACTCAGTGAATTAGAATTTTCTCAACACTTTACAATGGAGATAAAATCAGATGCTGAGGCTGACATGATTGAAATTGTCATCCTCACCCTAAATTTTGTTTTTATTTCTTAAATCAGCTTCATTGATCCCTGTTTCATAATTGTTACAAAAGAAGACTTACAAAATGCATTTGTACTTCTAAAATGCCCTTTGGCTGGTTTTACATTTGCAGATCCATGCAAGATTTTATTTATTTATTTAGAAGGCAGCAAAGTTTTATTAACGTTAGGGAAAGAAACAGGCTCTGCAGAGCAAGTCTGGGCCGAGTAAAAGCAGGAAAAAAAGTACACCCTGCAGCATGAGGTTGGGCCGCTATGTAACAGCAGTGACTGCAAGATTTTATTTTAAAAAAGGAAAAAGCAGCAAAGAAAGATTTCCTGCTAAAATAATTAGAAAATGGAATTCTAGCAAGTCCTTTCACAAGAAAGAACACAGCCCAAGGAGAATCTGTACAAGTACTTGACACGTGCATTTGTCTCTGCAGAGTGCAGCACATCGTGGGGAATCTCTTCATGCAGCTCGTGCTGGGAATTCCCCTGGAAATGGTCCACAAAGGCCTCCGGGTGGGGCTGGTGTACCTGGCAGGAGTGATTGCAGGTCAGTGTTCTGAGGGCAACAAGGAGGCGACCCTTTTGGGCTCTCAGGACAAACGCAGAGGCAGCTGAGACTCACAGTGGGCTTAAATCAGGGTTCACTGCACTGCTGAAGCGTGCTAGGGAACGCGCTGAGCATTAGGGAGAACTGAAGAATACAGGTTAGCGGGAATTGAAGCACGTGAAGACAAGTCACTAAGGGTGCCCATCCTCGGCTGCTACACTCAGAGTTTTGCACAGCCTGAAACTGCAAGTAATTTGGTGAAGAACATGAAGCTTCTTATGTGTCAAACTAACTGTCTGGGGAAGTGACGTGATCCAGTTTGCATTTAAGAGAGACAGCTTTGGGCTGGGGCTAGAGGTTAATTCTAGCGTGTGTGCACAGCATGAAAAAGCCATGCATTCGATCCCTAGCTCCCCACCAAAACGGACAACTTTACGAGAAGCTGGACAATAAATAAAAAGGGGCTGAAAGATTGAGGTGGGATTAGCATATGGCATCGATCCCTGAAACTGAGCACATCTAAGCTGTTTCAATCATGGCGTGGGAAGAATATACTAGAACTCCCCTCTATTCATGTTTGTATTTATTTACTGGAAGCATTTTTAAAAAGTTGAACATTTAATATTAGGATGATTGTAGATTTACATAGTGTCTAAGAAATAACACCAAAAGTTACTAGGTACCCTTTAATCAGTTATTCCCAATGGTAACATCTTGTGAAAACGTATGTCCACCACGATATAATCAAGGTATGAAATAGTCCTAGTACCCCTTCCCTGTCGGCTTCCTGCACTCCTTTACCCTCAGTTACTAATATGTCCTGTATTTCATTTCAGTTTTTTGGAGGGGAGGGTTGAGACAGGGACTCCCTATGCAGCCCAGGCTACTAAATGATATCATATTTCTAATTTCAGTGTCTATAGATTCATTGTGTAGAAATACAATTAATATTTGTATGCTGATCCTATACCTTGAAACATACTTGACTCGTGTTAGTTCTGTGGTGTTTGTCACTGTAGTTTTTAGATTCTTTGGGATTTTCCGTGTTATCTGCAAATCCTCATGACATCTACAAATAAGACAATTTTCTCTTCCCTTGCAACCTCTATGCCTGTTTCTTCTTCTAGCCTTATTGTGTGAATGAGTGTTTCTAGCACCACGCTGGGTAAGAGGGGTAGCAGATATCCTTGCCTTGCTCCTGATCTTAGAGAGAAAACATTTAAATTAGTCTTTCGCCACTGTGTATAGCATTATCGGTAAGCTGTAGGCTTTTTGTAAATGTTCTTTACCAATGCCTTCCTTCCCTTGCTCTGTCTCTCAACAGGGCCTCACTCTGTTGCTCTCGCTGGTTTCTAACTCCTGGACTCGTGAACCTTCTGCATCTGTCTCCAAGTGCTGGGATTGCAGCCTTATTCACTGTGGTGGCTTAACAGTACATTTATTTCTTAAAAAAGCAGGAAATCCAGCATGACTTCTAAGTAATACGCAGACTGAGATAAATCCATTTTTGTCTTCATGTATCACATACTGTGTGCAGCTTCTGGGTATGAGGTGACAATTTTATAGCACACGGGACCTAAAGCCCTCCCTGGGTTATTCCTGTTCATATTGGAGGATTTGTTGTATGCATGCCTGCCTAAATAAATGGGATAATCTTTAGGAGGAGGAAGGGACATCCTGAGTTAGGGAGTTACCACAAAAATGTTTTGTATTTGGCTGATTGTTTTGTAGTGAACTGCTTAGAATAGTTGTTGATTTTGATTAGTATTTTTTTTTTTTTTTGTCTTTTTGAGACAGGGTCTCACTGTGCAGTTCAGGCTGGCCTTGAGCTCACTTTGTAGCCCAGGATGTCCTCAAACTTGCAGTGATCCTTCTTGTCTCAATCTCCCAAGGACTAAGATTACAGGCGTGAGCCACCACTCCTGGCTTGACTTTGATTAGTTTATACATTCTTCTTTATACAAAAAGATGGGTGTCTAACTTGCTGATTTTTTTCTTTCTGTGATAACAAAAGGTTTTAGTAGTATACTACTTAACAGATGTTGAAAAAAAATTCAATATGTCCCTTGAGGACATGATAGCTTTTTTCCCTCAAAAGAGTAAGAAACTAACTTTTTTAGAAACACTCAAATTAAGAAAAGGAAAATTTGAATGGCAACTGGAAATTGTCTTACTTATATTCTCATTGCTGAGCCAAAATATCCAACACCCAAAGTTAAAGCAGGAGAAATTATTTAGCTCACAGTTTGTAGAGGTTTCAGTTCATAGTTGGCTGGCTACAAGGATGGCATCACAGAGCAGGCAGGCAGGCAGCAAATAGCAAGAGGCAAGTGACAAGTGACAATCAGCGACCCTCTTTCTGTATTTTATAAAATCTACCCATTTGTAGGGCAGGGAATGCTCACAGCCAAGGCAGGAGCCTTAATCTTAGCCAGAACTATGCCAAAGCAATCAGTGGACTGATCTAGTAATCACACATCCTTGATCGCATCACTACACACTCCAGATCCAGCCTCTGAAAAGCCCCACCTTTGACCACATGAGGTTTTGCATGATATCTAGATACAAGCCATAACAGAGGTTATTTCATCATTGTAAGATTTTACTGCTAAAAATGAGTCATATTTTACAAATTGACATTAAAAAATGGGGAAACAATTCCTTAATCTGTTTTAAAATTCCTTAGGTTGTTGGGCCTGGTGGCACACACTTGTAATCCCAGCACTTGGGGGACCAATACAGGAGGATCAGGCTGTGAGTTCAAGGCCAGCCTGAAGTACATAGCAAGATTCTACCTTAAAAAAAATAGAAAAGAAAAAGATTCTCAGTGAAGGCTTTTAGTGGACTTTAACCTTTATCGTAGCACTTTCTAATTATTTTGAAAGAAAAGATGATGTTGGTGAGAGTGGGAATTAGCCAAGTTACAACAAATGCACATAATTTTACACAGTCAGTGACACAGGTCTTCCATGTGAAACTACATATCACTTGTAATTTTTTTTTTTTTTTTTGTACTGGGGATCAAACTCATGACCTTGCACTTGCCAGGCAGATACTTAGGCCACTGAACTAAATCCCCAGTCCTTTTTTTTTTTTTTTTTTGTCTTTTTGAGACAGAGTTTCACTACAGTCTGGTCTTGAGCTCACTTTGTAGCCCAGGCTGGGCTCAAACTCACAAGAATCCTCCTGTCTCACCTTTCCGAGTTCTGGGATTGCAGGCGTGCACCATCACGCCTGGTGTCACTTGTAATTTTATACTTTGGCCATGACACCAGTGTTTAGAAAATAACAGAATTTAGGATTTAGGATTATATCTTTGCATTTCTACATCACTATATTTAACCAATTTTTAAAAAAAATAGCTGGATATGGTGGCACACGCCTGTAATCCCAGCGTTTGGGAGGCTGATACAGGAGGATCATTGTGAGTTCAAGACCAGCCCAGTCTGTTCAAGGCCAGCCTGAACTGCGTAGTGAGACCCTGTCTCAAAAAGACAAAAAACATAACATACCATTAATGCAGTAAAATAATTTGAAAATATTGTTTCATCAATATTTTAAGTTATATTTTTGTGTTTTAAGGACATATTAGTATAGTAGGACCTATATATGTAATCTACAAACCTGTGCATATACCTCTATTTTAGTGAGTGCCTGTAACAGTTTCCTTGCTGCCTACAAAAATACAAAGTGAACATTTTTAGATTTTACAAATCTAAAAAAAGAAAACTCATGGATAACTAAAGATTACTGGCTACCACAAATTGGGAAGCTTAAAGCAACGGCACTGTGTAGTCTCATAATTCTGATGCTAGAAATCTGAAATCAAATGTCAGCAGGGCCAAGATCTCTCTGAAGCCTAGAGGAGAATCCTCCTTCACATCACTGCAGCTTCCGGGGGTGGCTGTGACTCCTTGGCTTACGGCTGAAGAACTTCTAGCTTTGCCTTCATCATTTTATGGTTCTTTCTTTGTATTTCTGTTTCCCCTTTGTCTTTGTTTTTGTGACAGGGTCCTGCCATGCAGTTAAAGCTGGCCTTGAACTCACTGTGGAGCCCAGGCTACCTTGAATTTGAGGGCAGTCCTGACTCAGCTGGGATCGCAGGCATGTGCAACTCTGTCTGGCTCTGTTTCCTCTTCTTAAAGACAGCAGTCATACCGGTTTAGGCACACACCCTACTCTAGAATAACCTCTCCTTTACTAATCATGTTTGCAACAAGCCTATTTCTGATAAGATACTAGGGCTTAGGACCTCAACATAGTTGTGTGTGTGGTGGGGGCATAATTCTACCTATCACAGTGCACACAGTTCCTTTTACTGATGCAAAGGTTGCCAGTCTTCTAGAGCTGAGTCCCAGTGAGGACCTACAACACTGGGGGTGCAGTGGCTGCGGGCAGAGAGCAGGAAGCTGTCAAGATCCACATTAAGAGAACCGACAAGCTCTGATGGTGTAGCTTCCCATCCAACTTCCCCTCTTCTTTCTTGGATCCTGTTTTTTTTACACCTTCTCCTTTTGTCTCTGCACATAATTCTTTTTCCCCGCTTTGGAAAGCCTTTTGTGATGAGCAGGTCTTGCCTGGCTCCAGGTGCTGCATCTATGTCTGTCCCATAGTTCAAGTTGAACCTGTGGACTCAGCCCTGACCCAGTTACAAAGCCAAGAAGACATGAATAACCTGTTCACGTCCTCTGCCCATTTTTGCAATAGCTTCTTGACAGGAGTCTCCGTGCCCATTCTGGTCTATCGTTCACATGTTGTTTGGATCATTTTCCCTAAACAAGATTCACTCATGTTATGAATACTTACTCAAAAGTTAACAGTGGCCATGGGCTGGGGATATAGCTCAATGGCACAGTGCCTGCCTGGCAAGCATGAGGTTGTGAGTTTGATTCCTGGTTAAAAAAAAAAAAAAAAAAAAAAAAAAAAAGACAATGACCAAAAGAAAACCCAAGCATGCAAGGATGTTCTTTTCTTTTTTTCTCTGAAGGATGTTCTTTCTT